ACAATATTTATGTATCCATCTTAGTAATCTTTTTGTTGAGTAAGTTTGTTAATCATTTCCTAGATGTCCCTGGTCATGAATCTTTTAATTTTAATTATGTATTTACTACCAACTATTCACAACGTTTGTACTCCCTCACTTGGTGCCAGCCCCTCTGAGACGGTACTGTGTCATCTCCGTTTCTCTCCTCTCAGCTGGAAAAGCGGCTGGAGGATTGGCTGGGGAAGACATTGCCTGGCAGTGACTGGACACCCAATGCTCGATTTATTATTCGTTCTTGGCTTCGAGATGGCCTCAAGCCACGATGCATAACCAGAGACCTCAAATGGGGAACCCCGGTGCCTTTGGAAGGCTTTGAGGACAAGGTAGATACCTTTCTCCTTTGGTCATGGTTTAAGTGCTCAGTCAGCACTGAGTCTGTGGGCTGGCAGGTTAAAAGGCTGATGATGTTTCCTCTCAGCTTGAGACTTGGAGCTTCACTCCTGTTCCCTCCTCCAGGTGTTCTATGTCTGGTTCACTCCTGTTCCCTCCTCTAGGTGTTCTATGTCTGGTTCACTCCTGTTCCCTCCTCCAGGTGTTCTATGTCTGGTTCACTCCTGTTCCCTCCTCCAGGTGTTCTATGTCTGGTTCACTCCTGTTCCCTCCTCCAGGTGTTCTATGTCTGGTTCACTCCTGTTCCCTCCTCCAGGTGTTCTATGTCTGGTTCACTCCTGTTCCCTCCCTCCAGGTGTTCTATGCCTGGTTCACTCCTGTGTCCTCCTCCAGGTGTTCTGTGTCTGGTTCACTCCTGTTCCCTCCAGGTGTTCTATGTCTGGTTCACTCCTGTGTCCTCCAGGTGTTCTATGTCTGGTTCACTCCTGTTCCCTCCTCCAGGTGTTCTATGTCTGGTTCACTCCTGTTCCCTCCTCCAGGTGTTCTATGTCTGGTTCACTCCTGTGTCCTCCTGCAGGTATTCTATGTCTGGTTTGATGCCACTATTGGTTACCTGTCCATCACAGCCAACTATACAGACCAGTGGGAGAGATGGTGGAAGAATCCAGAACAAGTAAGCAGCCTCAGCCCGTCTGTGGGGACAGGCTATGTGAGAGGTGTTAGAGGTAGAAAGTCTCAGGCTGTCTCTTCAATGCATTCTCCTAGGTGGACCTTTACCAGTTCATGGCCAAAGACAATGTTCCCTTCCATGGCCTGGTCTTTCCCTGTTCAGCCCTAGGAGCTGAGGACAACTATACTTTAGTCAAGAACCTCATTGCTACAGGTAGGTGCCTGGCAGAGCACAGCGGGGTTGTTCCTAGGCCTGAGGCAGTACTTGGAAGAGCCTGCAGAGGGGCTAGGTTTTAGGTTGGATTTGAGATGAAATAGGAAATAATTAAAGCATGAGAATTCCATCCAAAAGAGGGAAAACAAGAACTTGAAAGCAAAAATCTAAAGCTAAAACTATTATAAGCAAAGAGAAAAAAAGGCCAGAATGGAAGCATGGAACTCCGTGACCTGTGTAAGCTATTGAAGGAAAGGTTTTTTTTGGACACTCGCCATTGAGAGAAAGGGAAAGAGGCAGTGGGTGAGGGGGGCGGGGCGGGGGGTAAGATGTGATTGAATCCTTCTCTTTTGTGCAGAGTACCTGAATTATGAGGATGGGAAATTCTCTAAGAGCCGGGGGGTAGGAGTGTTTGGAGACATGGCCCAGGATACAGGGATCCCTGCTGACATCTGGCGCTTTTATCTGCTGTACATTCGGCCTGAGGGTCAGGACAGTGCCTTCTCCTGGACAGACATGATGATTAAAAACAATTCTGAGCTGCTTAACAACCTGGGCAACTTCATCAACAGGTAGGAAGGAATTGGTGGAGAGCTCCACACCAATATGGAGAGAACTGCTAAGTGGGAGGAGGCTGATAGAACGGAAATGGGTAGCCAGGTGGTGGCGCACACCTTTAATCCCAGCACTCCGGAGACAGAGCCAGGCGGATCTCTGTGAGTTTCAGGCCAGCCTGGTCTACAGAGTGAGTTCCAGGAAAGGTGCAAAACTACACAGAGAAACAAAAAAAAAAAAAAGAAGAAAGAAAGAAAGGGAGAGGGTAAAGTTGTTGGTGTGGACTGGGGTTGGCTGCCGCGCCAGCACACACCACACTGTTCCTGAGGCCAGCAATTAGACAGGTGGTTGGCAGAGCTGGTCACAGAGCAGACCTTTGGGCGTTCTCTTGTGCTTGTCTAGCAAATTCAAAGCTCTGAGTTTCATCCTCAGCCCACAGACATGCACGTGTGCCCTCCCTCCATGGCTTAAGACTCTTCAGCATTCTGGACCTTTAACTCACCCATAACCACATTTAGTAGCCTTCATTAGAATATGTTAGTTTATAACACACTTCACCTTGGCAATTCTGAATATTTAGTTCTAAAAATATATAGTTGCTTAACTCATTTCTTTATTTACAGAGTCACATTCTTCAGAGAGAATGTAGATTTAAGATTTATTCTAGTTTGAGGGGCCAGGAATTCTCAGGCTTGCACAGGAATGCCACAAGAATGTTTTTTGGGTTTTTTGTTTTTGTTTTTTGTTTTTTTTGAGGCAGAGTTTCTCTGTGTAGCTTTGGTGCCTGTCCTGGAACTCACTCTGTAGCCCAGGCTGGTCTCTGACTCACAGAGATCCGCCTGGCTCTGCCTCCTGAGTGCTGGGACTAAAGGCTTGCGCCACCGCCGCCCAGCTACAAGAATGTTGTGTTTTGGTTTTTACATTTGTTCACTGTGTGTGAGGGGTGTAGTTGACACACTGCAGCGAACATCATGTACAACCTCTTGAGTCAGTTCTTCCTTCCACCATGTGGACTCCAGGAATTGAACTCAGGTCACTGGACTTGGTGGCAGCCTTTATCTGCTGAGCCTTCTGGCTGGCCTGAGCATGAAGAGTTACGGAAGCAGGATGAAACTTCTCTAAGGAAACTGGACAATAACTTTGTCTTTTCTCCCCGACCCCAAGAGCTGGCATGTTTGTGTCAAAATTTTTTGGGGGCTGTGTGCCTGAGATGGTGCTTGCCCACGAGGACAGACGCCTGCTGGCCCATGTCTCCTGGGAGCTCCAGCACTACCACCAGCTGCTCGAGAAGGTCCGGTAAGTGACTTCCGGCACAGTCCTGGCGGCCATGCGCCACTGTGGGGACAGACCGTCCTGGCGGCCGTGCGCCGCTGTGGGGACAGACCATCATGGCGGCCGTGCGCCGCTGTGGTGACAGACCCCCGTCCCCTCCCTCCCCAGGATCCGGGATGCCTTGCGCAGTATCCTTACCATATCTCGACATGGCAACCAATACATCCAAGTGAATGAGCCCTGGAAACGGATTAAAGGAAGCGAGGTGGACAGGTGTGTTCAGGAGCTCTGGCTGGCTGTGGAGTTTGGTGACATGCTGTCCTCTTGGTGGCCTGACTTCTCTCTCTTTCCTCAGGCAGCGGGCAGGCACAGTGACAGGAGTGGCAGTGAACATCGCTGCCCTGCTGTCCATCATGCTGCAGCCTTACATGCCTACAGTTAGCACCACCATCCAGACCCAGCTACAGCTTCCACTTCCCGCCTGCCGCGTCCTTGTCACCAGCTTCATTTGTACCTTACCAGCAGGTCACCGAATTGGCACAGTAGGTCTCATTGATGTTGTCGGAGCTGGCCAACTAAAACTCTTGTTTTTAGAGACCTAAACATCTCTGGCTTTGAAATATGGGGCTCTACAGCTGTTCTCGAAATCCCTCCGCAATTCTGCACTTGGGCTTTTTTGGGTGTGGGGGCGTTTTGAGACAGGGTTTCCCTGTGTAGTTTTGGTGCCTGTCCTGGATCTCACTCTGTAGACCAGGCTGGCCTCGAACTCACAAAGATACGCCTGCCTCTGCCATTGCTGGTATTAAAGGCGTGTGCCACCCCTGCCCGGCCTGCACTTGGGCTTCTTGTAAAGGTTCTTGGTATTGGATCGTGAGTATAGAACTGTCTGTATGTCCTTATTGCTGTTCATGCCAGAAGCCAGTAAGTGGACAATCTGGAAACGGTTGGAGATGACCCTGACGACCTGATCTCTTGATGTCAGCAGCCATTTCCTCTGACACTAAATGATAAGCGTGTACACAACCCTTTGTCTCCTTTGCACCCATTTTCTTTCCACTCCACTGTGAACTCTTCTGAAGCTCTCGGGCATTTGCCCAGTGTCACACTCCTATGTCTTGTAAAGCAGCTGGGATCTCTAAGTGTCAGAAAGGGTGGGGCGTCTCTGTGGTGTGGTAGAGGTCATCAGTGATTAATTTTGATGTGTTTCCCCAGGTCAGTCCTTTGTTCCAAAAACTGGAAAATGACCAGATTGAAAATTTGAGGCAACGTTTTGGAGGGGGCCAGGTGAGCAAACTAGACTGTGTACTCCCTTGGCAAGTATGGCAGTGCCACCTCACTGTCCCAGCATCCTCCTCACTGTCCCCTCCCTCCTTGGGCCTTGCTCCACCTTACCATCTCCATGTCCTCCTCACTGTCCCCTCCCACCTTGGGCCTCGCCGCCTCCTCACTTAAGTCTTTCTTTCCTGTCTTAGCTAGAAGAGTCCTTGGAGTTAAAGGTAACCATTTCCTCTGAGCTGTTATGTCAAACCGGGCACCAGAGGGATTTATGGCAGCAAGGAATAATGTACTGCTCTTTTCCAGACTAAAGGATCCCCCAAGCCAGCAGCTGTGGAGGCGGTTACAACAGCTGGGCCAGCGCAGATACAGATGTTAATGGAGGAAGTGACCAAGCAGGTGTGAAGCTCGTGGCCTGTGGGGACTGCAGGTGTGGACCCCTGCACGGCTTCTCCCGGCCTCACTGTGGTCCCCTCACTCCCACCCCTCTCTAGGGCAACATAGTCCGAGAGCTGAAAGCCCAGAAGGCAGACAAGAACCAGGTTGCCGCGGAGGTGACGAAGCTCTTGGATCTAAAGAAACAGTTGGCTTTGGCTGAGGGGAGACCCATGGAAACCCCTAAAGGCAAGAAGAAAAAGTGAGAGGTTGTTCATAGAAAGTCATTTAATGGGTATGGACAACAATAAAGAATGGACACTATATATGTATATACATGTATACACACACACAGCCGAGACCCTTTGTTCTCCCTACTCAGCATGCAGTTGAGGGTCCATCCTCAGCCTTGGTGGGATGGTGTTTGCTACGCTCCAGGAGAGCCGGGAGGTGACCCGAGCTGGGGAACGATGGTCCCAATTGTTCATGCTTGGTGCAGATTCACCATGCGGTCGATGAGAGCCCGGCGAGTGGCCTCCACCTCCCTGGTCAGGCGCTCGATTTCCTGCTTGAGCCGTCCGTTCTCCTGGGCCAGCTGTACCACTTTCCTCTCGTTCTCCTGTTCCTTCTCCTTCATGCGCTGCTTCCCAGCCCGGGCCGCGCACTGACCACTCTGTTTCCGTTTCCTAGATTTTCCTTCCTCCTCCTCCTCCTGAGCCATGGAACTCTGACTGGAATCTGGAGAGCGAGGGCTCTGCGAGGTGCTTGTGACCTCTGCTGGCCCTGGCTCCTCAGTCAGCCACGCTAGGGATGCGGGGTCAAGAGTGGTGAGGGTTTTCGATTCTTCCTTTAAGGAAGTGAAGAAAGGGAGATGGGTGTTAGTTGAGGAGAGGCATACATACTCCCCAGGTTTGTGGGGTTCGTTTTATTTTTGCTTGTCTTTTGAATCAGGCTAGACTCAAGCTCACTAAGCTTAGGCTGGCATGAAGCAAGCTTCTTGCCTGCACTTGGCACGTGCTAGGATTGCGGGTGTGCACCACCACACCTGCTTGCCCATTTTGAGACTAGCATTCTCACTCACCTCCTCGTTTCCAGGGGGTGAAATATAGGGACCCCCATTGTCATCTGAGGACAGCACCTCCTGCAGATCCTCATACCAGGCTTCCAGCTCCCAGCTGGATACCGCCTCCAAGGTGAAAGGCAGGGACTCAGCTGCCATGTCTGTGGTTGGACTGGGTTCTAGAGAAGAGCATACAGGGTAAAGGTTCCATGCGTCACGGCTGGTGAACCGGTCTCATGCCTACTTTAACACATAGGATTTAAAATGTACTAGTCTTGCAGGTCAGGTAGGGCGTGGGCTGTCTATCTTTGAAGGCCACATTGGCAGGGGTGGGGAGTGGAAACCATCACCCACAAGTTGTTCTCTGACCTCCACATGCACACACCATCAATGAATGTGGGGCAGGGGGACAGCTGAACGACTACAACTACCTGTCACCAACCAAGCCAACAATCAGGGTTTGATTCCTCTTAGTCACCTAGTAAAGGGAAGAACTGGCCCCCCCAAAATGGTCTAGACCTTCATGTGCACACCATGGCCAGCATCCCCACAACACAAAAATAAATGTAATTAAAAAAAAAAAAAAAAACCAAGGCCGGGCGGTGGTGGAGCACGCCTTTAATCCCAGCACTCGGGAGGCAGAGCCAGGCGGATCTCTGAGTTCGAGGCCAGCCTGGGCTACCAAGTGAGTACCAGGAGAGGCGCAAAGCTACTCAGAGAAACCCTGTCTCGAAAAACCAAAAAAAAAAAAAAAAAAAAAAAAAAAAACCTAAACCCTCCAGGCAGTGGTACTTAATCCCAGCACTCAGGAGGCAAAGGCAATAGGATCTCTGAGTTCGAGGCCAGCCTAGTCTAGAGTGAATTCTAAGATAGCCAGGGCTACACAGAGAAACCCTGTCTTGAAAAACCAAAATAATAACCCGTAAAATCAATAAATGTAAACAAAATATTATTTAGTGACCTTTCTACTCTTCTGTTTCTATAAAAAACAAGTTTTATGTATATGCATATGCTCACAAGTGCAGCAGTGTCTGGGGGGCCAGAGAATTGGGTCTCCTGGAGCTGATGTTCAGCAGTTGTGACCTGATGGGCACACTGGAAACCCAGTTCGGGTCCACCTGAAAAGCAGCGGGTGTGCTGAACTGATGAGTTTCCTCTCCAGCCTCTTATTTCCATTTTTTGTTTGTTTTTTTTCATTATTTTTTGTTGTGCTGGGAATTGAACCAGAGCCTTGTATATATGCTAATAGAGCATACTACCAGGACTGAAGAAAATACGCAATACATTTTTGTGTGTGATTTTTGGGGGTCAATCAAACCTAGTGCCTCACACACAAATATTGAACCCCAGTGCAGCTGGAACATACATTCTTTTTTCAAAAATGTATTTTATTGTTTGTGTATGTATGTGTGAGTACCTGTATGTAATGTCTATGTGCTGTGTGTGTGCTTGGTGCACATGGAGGCCAGAGAGGGAATGGGTTCCCTGAGAACTAGAGCCAGAGAGAGTCTTATGCTGCCATGTGGGTGCTGAGAATTTAATCCAGGTCCTCTGCAAGAGCAGCAAGTGCTCTTTACCACTGAGCCATCTCTCCAACTCCTAAGAACACACTTTTTATTGAGATAGGGTCTTACTATAGATAGCTCAGGCTAGCCTTGAACTTCATGATCCTCTTGTCTCTGCCTGTCAAGTTCTGAGATTTATAGGTATGAGGCATTATGCTTGGCTATGCATATATATTCTTACGGGATTACAGTAAAAGTATTCAACTCACTTGGGGACATCACTGGTAAATTCCAGGGGCAATTACCAAGCCATTTGTGTTCCTTTCTCTTGGGTGGGAAGCTTGGGCAAAAAGTCCTTGGGGTTTGTCTAACCTTGTGGACAAACCAGTCACCATTGTTGAGGCTGGCTGTGAGAGCCAGCTTTCAATTGGACCGTGCTCTAAAAATAACGTTGTGGGGTCAGAGAAAGACATGGTGTGACAGCAAAAGCTTGTTCAGATCAAAGCCTCTTCTGATACTGTCCCAGCAAAACAGCCCTAAGCAGCTCCAGGAGTTGACTTTGACAGGGGGCTGGGTAAGTTTACCTGCTTTCAGGTATGGTGATGTATGAAGATACACTTCCTTCTGGAACACTGTGGAGAAGAAAGGTCAATGTTTACTGTTTGAAAGGGAAAGGAACAGGTTCTTTACCCCCAGCCTCCTACCCTCGAGTCCTCCTCTTTGTGTAGTTCTGGCTGTCCTGAAACTAGCTCTGCAGACCAGGGTGTAGTTTTCCTTGTAACACACACACACACACACACACACACACACACACACACACACACACACACACACACACACACACACACACACACGTATTCCTAAAGCCGACTCCAAGCACAGAGGCAAGCTTGATTTCATTTTTAGTTGCTGACATGTGTAGTCCTGATTACATAATAGCGACGCTCTAGCCAGCTAAGCTCTCTAATTCCAGATCGACCCCCTCCAACCTGCCAGAGGGAGGGCTAACCTACAGGGAGGAGAGATGCAGCAGCGCTTGCTACACTCCAGTCCCATGCCGGCAGCCTCCAGTCTAGACCTGTCCTGGGACCTCCAACTCTACCGTCTACTCCTAGCTCCTTCTGCACGTCCATTTAAAACAACCTCCTGCTGGCTTTTCCTTTCCAAGGTTGTATCATTATAAGTGGCAACTCTAGTTGCTTAACGCGAAAAAGAAAAAAAAAGTATCCTTGTTTCCTTCTCTCACATCCCACAACTCAGTCTAAAGCACTGGCAACTTGAATATATTCTTTTTTTTTTTTTTTTTTAACCGAGACAGGGTTTCTCTGTGTAGCTTTGTACCTTTCCTGGAACTCGCTTTGCAGACCAGGAAGGCCTCGAACTCACAGAGATCCGCCTGCCTCTGCCTCCCGAGTGCTGGGATTAAAGGCGTGCGCCACCACTGCCCGGAGAATATATTCTTTTTAAGTACCTAAACCCTAAGTATTTCTACTACATCATTTCCAAATGGAAATCAATTACCACACCTCCCCAAGTTTACTGTGGAAGCCTTCTTCTAGAGATCTCCCATTTCTTTTTTTCAAGACAAGGTCTCACTATGTAGCCGTGGTTGTCTTCATTATGTAGACCAGGCTGGCCTTGAACTCACAGAGATTTGATTGCCTCTGCCTCCTGAGTGCTGGCATTAAAGGTGAGCGACACTATGCTTTCGTGAGACTTGTCTTTTATTACTTTATTTCTGGGATTGACCATAAAGTCCTCTATATACTAGGCAGGCAGTCTGCCACGGAGCTACATCCCCAACTCTTTATTTGTGTAGTTACTTATTTTGAGTTAAGGTCTCACTGTGTAGCCCTGGCTGGCCCTGAACTCAGAGATCTGCCTGACCCTGCCTCTCTGAGTACTGGAATTAAACACGTGCCATGACACTGGGCCTTAGGTCACTCCTCTGCTCAGATCCTCCAGTGGCTTCTTGTTTCATGACTGTTAAGACTCACATCCTGAGTGGCTTGCAAGGTTCTACACGGTCCACCACCCTCTCATGTGCACTCCAGTCCAGCCCACTGTCCTGTTCTGCCCTTCTGCTCTGGCTGTTCCTCTGGGAAGTTCTTCCACTTTATCTGCATGGCTCACACACTTGCCTTCTTTGGGTCTTTCACTTAAAATCCCATAGGTAATTCCCGACACAAACCAAAGCTCTAGCCACAGTCCTGGCACCTGAGCACTCTAGTCCTCTGCTTTTGGTTTTTTCCCATGGTACTTTTTTCCCACTTTCTGCAGAAATACAAGCTGTATTGAGAGCAAAAGTTTTATCTTTTGCTCCTAATATACCCTGGGTCCTCAAATGCTTGGCACAAAGTCGGTGCTTACTAAGCATTTGTTAGGAATGAATAGGCAAAAAGCCACTCCCCCAATTTCCCTTCTAGAGAATGGAGGACTCAGCCCGGAGGCAGAGCCTGAGCGGCCTATCTCTGGGGACTGGAGATGCAATATTGCCCCGAGTGTTTCTCTGCAGGGCTGTCCTCTGGGGGAAACTCCTTTGGTCTTCCAGTGTGTGGGACCTGGCTTTCATCAGCAGTGGAGCCCCAGGCCAGAGGGTGCAGAGAGAGGCAAACAGTGGGCTAGCCTGATGCAATGGTTGCAGAGATTAGCTGGGAGACAGGACTAAGAGGCAGAGATCAGTCCTGGGAGAAGCACAGGGACCCTGGAGACATCCCAAATAGTTTCCCACAGTTACAGAGATCCAGGCTGCTCTCCTGCACAGAGACCTCTGTGGAAAAGGGGAAAACCCATCTACGCTCCTCCCCCCAGCAGCCCCACTCCAAAGGTCTGTCAGACTTAGGGTTCTCTTAAACTTTGGGGTCAGCTACTAAAGTGGCCATGCTGGCCCCTGAGGCGCTTGAGAGAGTTGGGGGTAATGACGCTGTTGGAGAAGGGGTGGACACGGCCAGAGTCCCCTGCTGGGGGTGTGTCCTGCGGCCCCGCCTTTCCCTGGACGGGCCTAGGATGGCCCGCAGTCCTCCATCCCGAGAATGAGTTTCCCGAGGGCAACCAGAACCCCTCTGCCTAACGGCACAGAGCACACACCAGCTCGAGACGGGGCAACGGGGGCGATGCGGCCGCCCAAGGGAAGAGGGCCTGTAAGCGCCAGTCCAGAGTCAGGGGTCCCCGCCTTCACCCCTCCCTCGGTGCTCAAGCTCACTGTGGAGGGGGTGGGGCGACATCCCCAAGAGCAGTCGCCCCAACTTCATGGAACAGCCATGCTGGCGAGGATGGGAAGGGAAGGGGCAGACGGAGTCGGTACTCGCCTCTCTCCTCAGGTTCCGGCTTTTATTTTGGCTCTGTCGCTGCCACCCGTTCATCTTCAACACGATGTGATCGACGTACTAGACTCAAGCTACTGACCTCGGGAGCGCCGAGCGGAGATCTTTTATGCCGGCCTTCCCCTCCCCCTTGGGGGCGGGCCCAGGATCCTACCAATCAGAAAGCGGCACGCTGGCACTGGCCCCGCCCCACCCCTCACGTCCGCCACTCAGGAGTCCCGCGGCCCCGCCCCCGTCGCGCCCGGGGCCGGAGAAGATACGTCGTCTCGGACCCGGAAGTGGCTTCGGGTCACGAGGCTGCGCGGAGGAGGTGAGTCATGCGCGCGCGCGCGGAGGAGAGTGTGGCCGGGGAGGGTGGGGGGGGCGGGGATGATGCAATGTTTGGCAACCGGTGTCTGCGCGCGCACGCGCGGGGGCCCTGGAGGGCGGTGGGCGGGGCGGGGGCGGGGCGCAGGGGAGAGGGCGGGGCGCCAGCTCCCAGGGTCCAACGGCCGCAACGGCCGTCCTTCCCGAACTTGTCTGCCCGCCGCTCCTTTCCCCGGCCCCCCCGCTCCCGGGCGCCCAGGCCCCCGAGTCCTCCTTTAACCTCCGAACGCTCCCCAAAGGCCGCGGTCCCGGCACTTAGTCCCCCCGCTTTTCCCCGACGGGCACCTGTGACGTTTGCCCCGGGCCGTCCATTGGTACGCCGGGACTCCAGTTCTTTGTGGAGCGCGCCCGCGCCCGCCCCCGCCCTCTGGGGCGCTCTTTTCCCGTCCCCGAGACCAGCACCCACCCTCGTCCTCCCCCCCGACCGCAAGCCCCGTGACTCCCTGCCGAGCGAGCAGCTGGCCCCCGGGGGTCTGGGGTCGCGACCTATCGTGGAGACTGGGGCGTGCATGCACTTGAGCGCATGACTGCCCTGGGCCGGGTTGTCAGGGGGAACACGGAGTCTCCCTTAATTTACCCATTTGCAAACCAAAGAGCAAGAGGTGAAGGGAAAAGAGCGCCGCAGAGGCAACTCGACGGAAAGTACAAACACCTCGCAGAATGTGCTTCTGTGCCATGCGCACAGGCCTGGCGCACACGCAGAGGCAGCCCGGGCCGGGCCGGCGACAGTGACAGGTCCTCGGCCGGCCCGCGGCTCCGCTCCAGACCGTCCTCCCCGTCCTGCTAGGGGCGGCGGGGGCGGGCTCGGCCAGAGGGCCTCTGCGGGCCTGCCGACGGACCGGGTTGTCGGTGACAGGCCGAGGTCGTGTTGTGACATGTTGACCTGGAGAGGCGGGTCAAGTCTCGGCGCACAACCCGGGACGCCCGCGGGGCGGGGCAGGGCAAGTCGCGACTTTCATCTTTGAGGGCCGGCCCCTCCCGGGCCTGACATTCCTGGCTCCCCCCGCGGACTGTGGCTTCGGCGGGGGCCCCTCCCCGGGGAGGGCTGGGATTGGCCACCGGTGGCCTGGGAAGAGGCCCAGATCCTTCCGCGGAGGGCGGGCGGGGGGGCGGCGGCGGCCGCGTGGGGTGTTTGTTCTCTTGGGGATTAATGGGGGGTGGTGGGGGAGGGGTAGGCGCGCTCCCGCATGCGCACCGCGTCCCCTCCTGTTGGCTCGCTGCTGTCCGCTGGGCGGGGGCCCGGCCCCGCCCCTCTCCCGTCCGGGCAGCGGCGGCGGCGGCGGCGGCGGCGGTGGCGGTGGCAGCGGCGGCGGCGGCGGCGGCGGCAGCCTGCGCGGTGCCTTCTGGGAACGGAATCCCCAGGGCTGCCCCTGGCCCCTATGGCGCATGCGCGGGAGGCCGCTCGGTGATCCGCGGCGGCGGCGGCGGCGGCGGCGGCGGCGGCGGCGGCGCTTCCTGCTAAGACCGGCCGGGGCCGTACCGGAGGCTCGGGCTCCACCGACCCACCTCCCACCCCCTCCCACTCACCCTCTGGGCCGCGACTGCGCAGGGCGGGGCCAGCCGAACCATGGGCCGCGGTGAGTGCGGGGCCCGGCCCCCCCGCCCCTCCCCCTCCCCGCTCTCTCCTCCCCTTCTGTCCCTACCCTCTGCCCCCTCCGCGTCCTCCCGGCCCCTTCCCCGGCCCCATCCGCGGCCCCCACCCTCACCTGCCCCCGCCGGCCCTCCCCTCCGGTGCCTGACTTGTGCCTTCCTGACCTCCCTCCCTCCAGCGCTTCGCCCACCCTCCACCCGCCCTCTCCCCAAGTTCCTTCCTACTTCGTGCGGCTGCCTTCCCCTCCTCCCCGAGCTGAAGGAAGCAGTCTGGGTGACAGGGCGCCTTGTTATGAGAGGGAAAGTTTGGAAGCCGTCAGTGTGCGGTGGGAGCGATGGTGAGGTTGGTGAGGATACCTGCAGGGTTAAGGGTCGTCCCCACATGTCACAGAATACTTCTTGGTGCCTATTGGAAGGCGGTGGGAGATTACGAGTCCCCTTTTCTTCGGCTTGAGAGAGGACCAGGAGCCTCTCAGGATCCTGGAGGAAGACAGAACTCTGGTTCCAGCCTCTCCCGAGCTCCAAATGAATTAGATCTGAGATGGTCTGATGGGGTGGGCATGGGGGGGTTCTGCTGGTACCACCCTGCCAGGCAGTTGGGCAATTGCTTGGTGACCTGTAGGGCAATCTGTACTTTTTATATGATCTTCCTGGGGGAGGGGACAGCAGTGGCCAGACACTGGGAACTTCCTAGTGGCCTGGCATTGTGGGAATTAGCCCACACTCCTTGTTGAAGTCTTCTGTCCCTAGACAAAGAGAACTAGCCTTTCATATGTCAAGAAATTAAGGTGTGATTTTGTGGTTCTTGGGAATGGAGGTGCTGAACTCCTCTGGTCCCCAGGGACTGGGCTTGGAGAGGACAGTTGTGAACATGGCCAGCAGATCTCTGAGGTCCTGTGGGCACAGCGTCATGTTATTTACGGGCCTTTCCTTGCGTGTTCTGGGCTGTGGGGCTTTCTTGAGTTCGGTGGGTTCTGAACGGCCTTCCCTCCCCTTGTGTTGCAGGTGTGGGCTAAGCTGGTGGCCCCGGCTCTAGACTGGACCCCACAATGTTTGCAGAGATGTTCAGGTAGCCATGGTGGTGTGGCAGAGGATTCCTCCTCCCCAGCTCTCCGAGGGGGTCCCTTTGCCACTCAGGAAGCCTGAGTTTCCTTGGGTCTCCCACTGCCTTTGCCTCCCTGGAATTCTCCCTCAGGTACCCAGCCCAGTTTAATCGTCCTGGTGCCCACATGGATGTCTGTGTTATCAGGCGCAAGGGAGCCGATCACACACAATGAATGGGGGCAATGAGACCAGTGGAGCAGACAGAGCTGGGGGCCCTGTGGCCACATCTGTCCCCATCGGTTGGCAGCGCTGTGTGCGAGAAGGTGCTGTGCTCTACATCAGGTATGGCGTTGCAGGGCCCCGAGTTGTCTCGGCCCCGCTACCTCCTGTTGCCCGAGGTTGCTGCCCTCACCCCTCCTCTCAGAACTTCAGTTTCGGGGACCTTGTTGCTCTCCTCTGTTCCCTCCTTCCTAGGCCCTTTTGCTCTTTATCTCTGGGTCTCTGAGTCCATTCAGTCCTCTTTGTTTCTTCTCGCATCCTTATGCCTTGCCCTTCCCAGGAGAGCATTTAACTGTCCTTTAGGAAGTTTCTCCAGATTGGCTGACAGTTAACCCCATACCCATGACCCTGTTCTCTCCCAGCCCAAGTGGCACAGAGCTGTCTTCCTTGGAGCAAACCCGGAGCTACCTCCTCAGCGATGGGACCTGCAAGTGCGGTCTGGAGTGTCCACTCAATGTCCCCAAGGTCAGAGTCCTGGGGATGCCAAAAACTGTAGGCATAAGCCAGAAGACTTAATCCAAATGACTCCTCATGGTCCCTTCTTAAGAGTCCACCTCTCAGTGTCCCTGCCCATGCTTTTTACCTTACAGGTTTTCAACTTTGACCCTTTGGCCCCGGTGACCCCGGGCGGGGCTGGGGTGGGGCCTGCATCAGAGGAGGACATGACCAAGCTGTGCAACCACAGGCGGAAAGCTGTTGCCATGGCAACTCTGTACCGCAGCATGGAGACCACCTGCTCACACTCTTCTCCTGGTGAGTTTTCTGCCACTTCAGAGAAGAATGAGGGAAGAAACCTGAGGGCCTGGAAGGTGGAAGGTGGATGATCTCTGTGGGGAAGCACAGGGTGGCGTTGGGAGGGGGGGACTGCTGGGTGACGGACATCAGCTTGGGAACTTGTGGGAGTTGGGACTGGAGAGGACAAGAACATTCATGGTGGGGACCCACACGCTGACCCTCCATTTCTCATTTATTGCAGGAGAGGGAGCAAGCCCCCAGATGTTCCACACTGTGTCCCCAGGGCCCCCCTCTGTCCGCCCTCCTTGTCGAGTTCCTCCTACAACCCCTCTTAACGGGGGTCCTGGCTCCCTTCCCCAAGAAGCCCCCTCAGTTCCCCAGTCCTTCCCCCTTCTAACCGGCCCTGCAGGGCTCTTCCCACCACCACGGCCTCCTGATCCAGTTCCCTCTGGGGGTAGCAGCAGCCCTTGTTTCCTCCCGAGGGGCAATGCTCCCTCCCCAGCCCCACCTCCTCCACCTGCTATCAGCCTCAATGCCCCCTCCTACAACTGGAGAGCGTCTCTCCGGTCCAGCCTGGTGCCCTCTGACCTGGGCTCTCCTCCAGCCCCTCATGCCTCCTCCTCCCCACCTTCAGACTCTCCTCTCTTCCACTGTAGTGATGCCTTAACACCTCCTCCCCTGCCCCCAAGCAATAATCTCCCTGCTCCCCCTGGTCCCTCTGGTCCTGCCACTCAGCCACCAGTGTCTTCAGCCACTATGCACCTGCCCTTGGTCCTGGGATCCTTGGGAGGGGCCCCCACAGTGGAGGGGCCTGGGGCACCCCCATTCCTTGCTAGCAGCCTACTCTCTGCAGCGGCCAAGGCACAGCATCCCCCGCTGCCCCCTCCCAGCACTTTACAGGGCCGAAGGCCCCGTGCCCAGGCACCCTCAGCTTCCCACTCATCACCCCGGCCCTCTCAGCGGCGGCCTCGCCGGCCCCCAACTGTCTTGCGATTGCTAGAAGGGGGAGGCCCTCCAGCCCCTCGACGGAGCCGTCCTCGGGCCCCTGCTCC